GGGAGGAAGGAGAGCCTTTGTCGGGAGGCGGGTGTCCGTGTGTCCCGGTGTCCGTGAGTCCTGGCTCCGCCAGCCTGAGGGCTGCAGGGTGGTGCGTGGCTGCCGGCATCGTGTAAGGGCAGCGCGAAGCGTTTCTGTGTGTTCTGCTGTAGAATCCTGCAGCCATTGTGCTGGTGCTTCCAGCGTGGGTGGGGTTTGTGCTTTCCCGCGTGTCCCCAGCTTTTGCCATTAATGCCACGGTGGAGGATTCTCCCTCTGGAGACACCCCAAACCCACCTGCATGCGTTCCTATGTCACCTTCTCCAGGTGACCCTGCTTTGCCAGGGTTGTTGGACAGGATGATCTCCAGAGGTCCTTTCCAATGCTAAAAGTTTTGTGATCCTATGATGTACTCTTGTACAGCACAGCTCAAATTTATTCCTTAATTTTTAGTTGTTATTTATCTCAAAGTATAGAAAATTGATAATTAGATGAGATGAGGGAGAGGAGAAAATACCAAGGTGGCATTTTTGTGACTAACCAAACCCCTGCTTCCCTGCAGGCTGTGGTCTCTAGGATTTGTGCCTTTTTGAATGAAACAAACATTCTCATTTAGCAGAATATTATTTTTCTTATCATACATAGTTTTCCTTCTAACTTTTATGCAGGACGGCACTGAATCTGTACCACAAGAACCTACCGAATATTGAGACCCTCCATCAAATGAAGTTCCTGCACACAACTGTGTCTCGGAGAGGTCTGGAGTGTCTCGGAGAGGTCTGGAGGAATTTTTTGATGATCCAGGAAACTGGGGGGAAAAAAGTGTAAAGTCTGGTGAGTTATATTTAGCATTTCTGATAGTGATCTTTGAGCTGAAATCTGACCTGTTTTTTTTACATCATAGGGAGTCTTCATAGCTACATAAAACTTATTTTACTGCGTATATGTACATCCATCCATTTGTCTGTCTTTATGCCTGTTAATTTTTATTCCCAGCCTTTTACAAACACAAATAAACACTATGTGTAATTGCCTTTCTGTATTGTCTTTTAAAAGCAAAGCTGAATATCCTCAAGGATGGCTGTCCAAGCAGTAGTATTTTAAAAGTAGTCTTTATACTGTTGTGTCAGCTGAGCCTAATAGAAGCATATTTTTTTTCTCCAGAATAAGAGAATTTGCTCCATTAAATTAATGGTGTTTTTTCATCTTTTACAGGGGATTCATGGAATATAAAGCAGCTAAGGGGCAAGAGTAGTGAAGACTTGCACAAACTTTGGTAAATAAGTTTTAGTGAAGAAGCTTCTCTTCTTTCAGAGCAGCTCTGCACTTTCTAATAACATATGGCTGGTGAATTTATGATCCAGTGACTTTAGTCTACCACAGATCTCTGCAAGCTCCTCTTTGGGCTTGTAACAGCCCTGGTCCTGGCCCTGTTCAGGACACAGAAGCTGCACTGCAGGTGGCTGTGGAACAGTTGTTTCTAGTTCAGAGGGCTCATGTTTGGTACAGTCCCTCTGTGGGTTGTTTGAGTTGGACAGACTTGGTTGTCAGTGCTTTCTAGTGGGGTGGGCACTTAATTCCATCAGGATGCTCAAGTCTTCATTTATTCTGAGTTTCTAAAGCTGAAGGTTGCATTGCCACTTCAGGCTGAACTTAAATCATTGCTATGAACAGCTTTTTCCCGGCTTTGACTTGTCCTTTTCCTGTGTACATGTAAGAAGAATCTGGCTCTGTCCAGGTAGGGGAAGACAACTTAGTATTAAACTCTTCCCTCCTATGCCCTCTTTATTCCAGACTAAGTCTCCCTCATTCTCCTCTTTTGGTTCGTTATGTGGAGCCAGCAGGTACAGGATTTGGGATTACAGCTAGTAAGTGAATAACTGCTTAGCTATCCAGAAGTTATTTTTGAATTACTGTGCTTTCTGCTTCAGGTATGTCCTGCTGAAAGAAAAGAACATGCTTTTAACTTTAGAGCAAGAGTCCAAACGGCAGCGCAAGCCTATGCCAAGTCCAGAACGATTAGAAAAGGTGACTTGTTCATACTACATAAAAACTATAACTGAAGTAAAATTGCTGACAAGTGTTTGTAAACTTGTTAAAGACCATTTGTTAAAATTATTTCCCTGATTTTAGTGTATACACTAACTGCTCAAGTTACAATTTGGTCAAGGCAGCTTTCTCATTGTCCAGTGAGCATTATCAGGGCTGAGACCAGACTCCAGTGAAAACTAAAAATAACCAAGAGCCACTACAAACCATAAGCAAATCTTCTGTTTGCTTCTCCTGCTTCCTTCTGCCTTAGAGCTTCCTATACTTCTGCATCAGCATCCTGCTGACAGAGAACTCATGATCAAACTCCAGCATGTTTTACCTTTGTTTTCCCTTTAAATTTTGTCTTAAGTCTTTGAGATCTTTTAAATTTTCAGCATTGTTTTTTGTTGGTGCATCCTGAAACTTTTTACCATTTGCAGGTAGAAACGTCTATGAAAAATATAGACCTGGTTGTCAGAGAAAGAGAAATTGCTTTGAGGCTTTTACAAACAGGCCATGAAAAGCCAGTCCCTGGCGAGTGGAGACACGACTTCTTGGGACGCACATTCTGGTATGAAAACCTTACGTTTTTTGTGAATTCTTCTAGTGGTGTGTCTCTCTCCCAGAAAATCCTTGTTTAATCAAGGAAGGACACACAGACTCTACAGAACAGAGTTACAAACCAAGCCAGCAAGAGCTGGAAATAAATACCCACATACAAAGTCTGCTGCGATCTCCCAGACCACTTTATCACTGTACTTGAAAACAAAATAAATTGGTAAAATCCTAGAATTAAGACAGTGTGTACATTCTGTAATAATTTTTATCTGTCTCCAACAGGTATAGTTACAAGGAATGGCCAATACCATGGCACTTGAACAAAAAACACAAAAAGAAGAGATTTTATTACTTACCTCATGTGAATCACTTCATCAGGTAAAGATTATTCTGACATTGAAAGTTATCTTCTGATCTGTTTGTGCCCTGTTCCACTTTAAAAGGAAAAAAATAGCTGTAATCTTTTGTTTTTCAGCTTCTAGACTGAAAATTAGGCTTTTTTAAATTACAGCTTGCTCTGTTTCTTTTTTTCTGTTCCCACCTTAGTGGTGGGAACATATCATAAGGTACATGATTATGCAGTGGCACTGTAGAAGTAATTTCAAATGCAGCCTATCAAAAATCCTCCCAGAGGCTGAACATCTGTAGAATTCAGAAGCAGAGTAAAACTTTGCATGCTTTTTTACTTGTCAAAAGCAAATTAATACTGAAGTTGTTAATCACTGACAGGCTCTATCTGATTGTGGGGGGAGCTCATTAAAGTGGTCACAAGCTGGCTGGAAATGAACCACACCAACTTCTCTGTTTCAGACTCAGACTTGAAAAAGCCTTACGGAAAAGGGCAAGGCAGCAGAACATGGAGAGGACGAGACGGAAGATCTTGGAAAAGAAGTTCCCTGACATTGCTGTGAAATCCCAGAGCCAGTGACATGCTGCAAGAGCAAGGAGTTGGTCAAGTGTCTGTGGAACATGAATCATGTGCTGGAACCACAAACTCCACTGAGCATTCCAGAGAGTCTCCATCGTTTTTTGTTTTTAATACCACATTTGACTTTAATTAAAACTTGTGATCTGAAATTAAAAAACAGCTTTGGTGCCTAACTCAAATAATTTCTCATGTTTCCAGGACAAGCCAACTGTTACAGGATTGAGACATACATTAGGAACAGTGAAGAGCAGCCACAGAGTGCCAGCTTACAGTAGTAAGTTAGGGGTAATGTTTACCTGGTTTAGTTTAACAAATGTGCATTAAAACCAGACAAAAACATGAAAGCATCTGAAGCTCACATGTGAGCCTTTTCCCCGATAGTATTTTTCCTGCTATTTTTCAGATACATTGTTCTGAATATTATCCCTGAGTTACAGGTAAGCTATGCAAGGTGTATTTGCTTTCTGCATAAATGCAGAAAATGGGCTCTTCAGTCTGCTATGAGGAATTTTTTCCACTGCTTTAAGTCTGGCTTCTTAGGAAGTATGAAATACTCAGCATGGATACTTCTAATACAGTTGTCCTACCTTGATTTCTATGACAAATTCAAACACTTGTACAATGTTTTTTTTGCAGAGTACAAAATATTTGAAAGAAGACTACAATAGTCTTCTATGAAATTGAAGTAGGTACTGCTGTTGCTCTGTTAATGGAAACACCTTCACATTTCACTTCATGAAAGCTTTTAACCTCCACATGTGGTGGTCTAGAAGTCTAGATTAAAGTCACAAATACCAGACTTTCAGGAAGCAAATGTACTCAGCAGCATAATATGGTAAAACACTGCAAAGGATCCGTACTGTTCCTGTATCTGTCTCCATCATTCGGACCCTTCACTTACTTCTGTGTCACATAAAATTCTCAGTTACAACTCAGAATGTTTGCAGTGGTGAGAAAACCTCCAGCAGTGTTTTGCTTTCTCTGTGCTGCTGGAATATTAAGAGATATTACAAGTGTTATTATATTAAGTGTTCTTTTACAAGAAACAGAAGATAAAAGTTGATTTGGCACAACAAAATCTAAGCGTGCCAGAGAAGGAAAGCTTAAAACCACCACACAGTGCAAGTACACTCTAAGGTAGCAGTTCAGTTGTGCCCCACTTGAATGGAAACTGGACTGAGTCTTTTTCTTCCACAATGACAAGAGCTGGTGACTTGGATCACTTGTTACAGCTTTGCAGTTTCCCTCATTTTACAAAAGAAGTATGGTTTGTCAGTAGCTTTGAAAAATCTGATCAAGCAACTCAAGAGTCTCATGATAAGACAAAAGCAGATTGGTTTGATAAATTACTTTATTATTTGGAGGTAATGTGAAACTTTTCAAATAGAGGCCTCATAATTATTTACCCACAAGATCTTTTAGGATACAAAAATGTAGCAGTATTGTTTATATTTTTTAGATCAGTTAAATGCTATTTGGTTTTCCACAGCTTTTGAGATAAGGAGCAAAACTTCATTGTGTCCCAAACCAGACCATTGCAGATTAAGCTTAAAAGCAACATCGAGCTGCGTCTTGACAGCCAATTCCTGCTGAAAAAAAAGTCATCCCCGATCCTGTGACCCTGAGTGCACCTTCCCCCTGCAAACACAGGCACTTACAGACCCTGCTGGGAGGCACAGGGGGAGCCACACCAGCCATGAGCTCACAGCACTTACAGCTCCCTGCAGCAGGGTCAAGCCACGCACTGAAAGCTTCTGACTCTGCTCCCAGTCTTGGAGAGGCAATTCTTTGTCTCAGTTTCCCTGTCTTGAACAGGTTTTGCTTCTCACCAACATCACAAAGGCATTAAATACATTCTTAGACATCAGGTGGAAAGCATTGCTTGCTTACTGAAATGAAACTGCTCCGTAATAAAAAAAAATTAGCAAACCAGTGCTTATTATAACATTCACTCCATGGAATGTAACACTTCTGTGAGACAGTAAAAGTTTACACTAAAATAGATCACTGAATACAAACTTTCAACTCTTTAAACAGCAGAGTAACTTTCTCTGCAAGTACTCACAAGCTTGCTCAAATATAAAAGACCAAATTTTATTTTTTAAGAGAAAAATAAGAGCAATTTAAGGCCAAAGTACCAGCAAGGAAGACTAGTATGTGAAAGTAGACAAGAAATTAGACAAGAAATAATTAATAAATAAGCACAGGCATTTGCAAGGTTATGCCTCTATCTATTAGCTAACCTGTAAAGCTGTTTCCAGGAAAAGATACTAGAGAAAATAGACATTTATACAAAATTATAAAATGCTTGTTACATGAATTATTGCTTTACAAGGGATGTAAACATCCTTTTTCTATTATAGTACCAATTAGGTCTCTCAAATTTCTAAGGTTTGTTAAAATGGAACTTGAATTATGCAAAAAACCCAGTATAAACTTTCTACAAAAAAGAGTCCATCCCATTCCTGAGTATGCTAAAGCTATAAAACAGAAGGAGCACCGAGCAGGCAGCAGTTTTCACAGTAAAGAGGTCTAAGGACATTTTCTTTCTACACACTGTTTCCCTCCTTCTTCATATTCTTGTTTAGAAATCCACATCTGCTGGAAAGTACCCTACAAAAATAAACAAACAAAAGCAACACACAATGAAAAAAATATCAGAGCACAAATGATGGTTAATTGAAACATGTTTAGCTCTTCCTAGGAGGGAAAACAAGCGCGTCTTCACATTACATGAAGTATTAGGACTTGACCTGCTTAACTGTCTCTTCCTTGAGTTTTATTGCTAAGGGATTAAACTCAAGACTGCAATCAGCATTTGGTGCTGCACTTCCTATCTCCCATTCCCATAATGATAAACTAATCCTCACAAACCATTTCAGTGCTCAGTACTTGTAGAATTAACCTCAGAAACATGATGCAGAAACAGGTTTGCTACTTTCATGGTCTTCTAGATACAGTCTAGAGAAAGTGCATGTATTTCAAGGTTGCATCTTGCCATTAAAAATGGGAGAACATGGCAGGATATGTTGTCACCAGAAAAGCTCACACCTCTTTTTAAAACAGATTCTCCTCCCCTTACCATGAGGACAGCCAAGATTATGATTATGTAGCACAGATTCTGCAGTGCACACTCTGGGGAATCAGATTTCTGGGTAGCAGTTGCTACACAGTAAGGCAGGTTTACTAACCAAAGAAGCCAAAATGGAGCCCCCAATCCACGAGCTGAACCTCCGCTCCACAGTCGTGTTGTTAGCTATCAACTTCAGGCGCATGCTCTGCACAGAAAAGGAACCAAAACCAAACATCACACAAACTGCAAGCTGGTACCCTTAGGGACAAGCAGCACAAGGAACTTGGTGTCTATACCAATATGCAGCTGAAGAAGGTCCATTTTAGTACATCTGCAATACCGCTCATCTGCCCTGCATTTACAATTCAAAACAACCACAGTGGAACAGGAAATGTGGTTTTTACCTTGTCTTCCAGCAGCAAATGGTTAATGCAAGGAATGGGGCAGGTGGAGAGCAATAATATCACAGTGTATAGTGTCATCTCCAGCACTGCCCTGGGACTAAAATTACTTATGTTGCTAGACTTGAGTCATCTAGTCTTTTTGGGACCCATTCATTCCTTTTGCTTTCAAAATGCCTTATGGCAATAAAATCTTTGAATTTCAATGGGCTCCTCCTCAGCTTTATAAGCAGTGAATACATTTCTCAGTTTCTCCTAACATTCATCATTTTGGAGTTGTCATAAGCAGAACATTTTTGCTTGAATATGAAAATTCAAGAAATACCATAATTTACATCAATTCTCAAATGCAAGGTATCAATATTATCTTTGACATCAAGCAATTAAAAAATATGTAATATGTTACTCATAGACAAAACCTGGTCATTTAGGTTGCCTGCAGAATTAAGGAAAAACAATTGCCACAATGAAGTGACCTCAGGCAGAATGTCTGAATGTGCCTCAAGTTAGTCAGCAACACTTCAAAAGAGAAATCTTTGAGAGAAATACTGGCTGTTTCTTGGGGACAATTACAGAAGTTAGGATCACAGTCTGAAAGCAAGAGTGGAGCAGTAAAATACTCAAGGAATATTGGAATTTGTTCTGTATAAAACTCAAGAATTCTTTCTTTTCTTTAGGAGAGGGAGGCTTCTTAACCCTGCAGAAATCTATTCAGCTGTCAGGCTCCAAAGAAAGTCAAAGCCATGATATCCTTGTGTACGTATGTGGCAGAAAAATAAAATATTAAGTACTCAATGCAATAATGGAAAGAGTTGTTTTACCGGTGGGGTTTTCTGAGACAGCTCCCTGTTCAATCTGTCTGTGAAACTCTGTATTAGAGTGTTTCCTCCTGCTACAATCACACTGCCATAGAGACCCTAAAAATAGAAAACAAACAAACAAAAACCTGGAGCTTTACCTCAGAAATCATTCTGAAAACAGCTCTTTCTCACAATAGAGAGGGGTGGCATGAGTGTGTATAGTCAACAGCAATAATACATTGCTTAATGCCAACAGTATTACCTCTCCCAATTCAATTAATTATTTAATCACTTTAAAATATTGCAAGGCAGCTTAATATTAAATTATAAAAGGAAGGTTGAAGCCATATGTTCTATATGACTTTAAGAAACAACTTCTACTATGGAGAACCCTCAACCTGCAGATCTCCCCTGTACCCATATTGTTGGGTTTTTTACATCTGAATGCAACCTCAAAAGAAAACCCTGCAGCAGTTTTCAATCTCACTATTGCTGCAGTTGGTGAACACACACCATGGCCCAGCCCACTAAGCCCTCCTCACACACTGGTTCACAGAAAAAAAAAATTCTGAAAAGAATTTCCATGCAATCTGTATCAAATTGACACCTGAGAAAGATACCACATTAATTTTAAAAATAATGTTTTGCTTTAGAACTTCTTCTCTTCCTTCCACTCTTTATAAGTTCCATGTATGTTCTAAACAAAACAATGCCTAAAAATCTGAAGATAACACTCTAAGTTACAAATATAAATGCTTATCTGAAGCCAGTCCAATCCAAATTATGCAGTGCCAGCCACAAAATCTGTACTTCAGATCTTTAAATATGGGTAGAAACACTAAGATTTAGCATTTTGTAAAACAAAACACTAATTGTACATATCCC